CATGTTTAGCCGAGGGTCAACCAACACCCCCAGGTCCATTTCCTCTACACAGTCTTCTAGCCAGTCCACCGCAAGCTTGTAGCGTTGCTTGGGGTTGCTGTGGCCAAAGTGTAGGACCCCGCACTTGGTCTTATTAAACCTCATCCCATTGGCTTCAGCCCAGCTCTCCAGCCTGTCCAGATCCTTCTGCAGGGCCTCGCTACCCCCAGGAAGATCGACACTTCCAGCCAACTTGGTGTCATCTGCAAACTTACTGAGGGTGCACTCAATGCCCTCATCCAGGTCATCAATAAAGATATTGAAGAGGACAGGCCCCAGCACCGACCCCTGGGGAACACCACTCATGACCGGTCGCCAGCTGGATTTAGCTCCATTGACCACCACTCTCTGGGCCCGGCTCTCCAGCCAGTTCCTTACCCAGCCAAGAGTGTACCTGTCCAAGCCACGGACTGCCAGCTTCTGCAGGAGAATACTGTGGGAGACGGTGTCAAAGGCTTTGCTGAAGTCTAGGTAGACCACATCAACAGCCTTTCCTTCATCCACCAGGCGGGTCACTAGATCATAGAAGGAGATCAGGTTGGTCAAGCAGGACCTGCCTTTCGTGAACCCATGCTGACTAGCCTGATCCCCCCGTTGTCCCACACTTGCCACGTGATCTCCCTCAAGACAATCTGTTCCATAACCTTCCCTGGCACTGAGGTCAGACTAACAGGCTTGTAGTTCCCCGGGTCCTCCTTACAGCCCTTCTTGTAGATGGGAGTCACATTGGCAAGCCTCCAGTCTTCTGGTACTTCACCCGTCAACAAGGAGCACTGATAGATGATGGAAAGCGGCTCAGCTATCACCTCCGCCAGTTCCCTCAGCACTCTTGGGTGAATCTCATCTGATCCCATGGACTTGTGACAGTCCAGTTGGAGTAGCAGGTCTCTGACTGTTTCCTCCTGAATCGTGGGTGGTTTAGTCTGCTCCCCAGCCGAGACTACCAGGTCAAAAAGTGGAGTACCCTGAGGATAGCTGGTCTGACCTTTAAAGACAGATGTAAAGAAGGCATTCAGGACCTCTGCCTTTTCCTTGTCCTCAGTAGTCACATTCCCAGCCTCATCCACTAAAGAATGGAGATTCTCCTTAGTCCTCTCTTGAACATCTCACTCTATTTTAATAGCAATGAATTTGTAGAGGAGCTAACTTAAAACCTCTATTAGTCTTTGTAAGCCTTTGTCCCTTATAATTAAAGGCCTCCTCCCAGAAATGCCCATTGTGGTTGTCAGAACCCAGCCCTAGTGAAATGAAACAACACCTTCTCACTTACAACAATGTCACACTGTTGTGAGAAAGTTCATTCCAAAGCACGAACAAAGATGTTCAGCCAATTTAATTACTAGATTGACTGACTATTCCTAAACCTGTTTGCCAGGTTCAGAGGCACATAGCCCATTATAAATTATTGGACCGTTGTTGGATGCCATCCTGGGGAGGTACATTTGCCAGTAGTCATCATCCAGGAAATAAATATGCTCTCTCCTGGAAATATATAGATGAAACAGAGCTCATCACTTGTGGTGTATGTCATTCTGGCTTTGTATCAACCCTTGGACAGACTTCCCCATGGATATGCACTTAAACTGAGATAATCACTATACTGGCAGTATATTTCAGGAGGCGTATTGAAAAGGTAGTGTGGGTGTGAGAATTTGTAAGGTAGAAGGTCTTCAGTCTTTTATTGGAAAGAGCTTCATTTCAGATCTAGTGGGAGGATTTACTCATTGGCTGTCTCTGGTTGTATAGAAGATGCAGTCCCCTGAGACTACCCCTAAGCCCGAAATCAATTTGTTGAGGTAAGAAGGTTCTCATCAGTCTGTTGTGCTGTCTGCCCAACCCAGCCTATAATGGGCATTTCACTGTGTTGAAACAGACCCTTTCTTGTGGTTTTCAGCTAAGCAGTCTTTACCAAAGAGCTACTTAGCACAGTAAGCCATAAAGCTGTTATCGTGGCCACTTGACACTGGTAAAGATCTGGTAGCACTTTTCACAGTAATTAAGGAGTTACAGTGACCTGGCTACATTTAATTTGAAATTAATATATATTTTACTCCACTAAGTCATGCCAGCACTTTGGAGAAAATCTTTTCTTTACTGCAAGCCTTGCTATGCTATCTAATATTGGTATATTTTATGAAGTATTTTAGGTTCTTTTCAGATGAAAGGTAGTGCAGAAACATAAGCTATTCTTAGGACTACAGATCTCCTGGACTTCTTCATTCATCTTTATCTTGCACTATGTTTGTCTTCCAGATTTCCTTTCAGTACAAAAAATGACAATTATCAAAGAGTCAGAGAGAAATAGATCTCATTTATAATCTAGTTTCACCTGTAAACAGATTCTAGGATCAGATTTTAGTTAAGTGAAGATGCAACCTATTGAACTCTATCTGGAAGAGGTTAATTTCTGCCTTAATTATCAGAGAACACCTTTGCACTCATACAGATTGTATCTTCTCTGTGCTATACACTTCTTGTTTCTTACACCTGTGCAGGAAGTTGGATGCTTTCATTTATGATGCAGCAGTGTTGAATTACATGGCTGGCAGAGATGAAGGCTGCAAACTGGTGACAATTGGGAGTGGGAAAGTGTTTGCCTCCACTGGCTATGGCATTGCCATCCAAAAGGACTCCGGTTGGAAGCGCCAGGTTGATCTTGCTATCCTACAGCTTTTTGGAGATGGTAAGTGTCAAGAAAAAGAGGAGGTGGAATTCCCCTAAGAAATAATAAGTTTTGCATGTATAGAATAATGTTCCATGTCCCTAGCTCTGGTGTTTCAGATCCACGTTGACAACAGGAGATTATCAAAAGGGTCTGTTAGAGATGTTGTGCCAGAAATGTGCAGAATGTCACCTGTTCTGTATTGTTGATGCAGGATATCATCAAAAGCAACTTCAAAAGCATTAGTGGTTTCATACAGTGAGCTCAGATGTGTGTATGAGCAATATCTTGTGAGAAGAATGTTGTGTGAAATCAAATTTTCTTTTGTGAACTTTTCGCTACCTTAGGAGTTTTGCCCTGACCAAACCCACAAACAGTGCTGGACTTTCCATTGTTGCCCCATATACTTGTAGGCAGGATCAAGCCATGCAGAATTTAGAGAAAAAAAAGCTGATTATATCTGGATGAAAAAGTTAATTCATATTCCCCTAAATCTCATAAACCAACCAACCAAACAAACAAGCAAGGAAGAATTTGAGACTCGGAAGTTTTTAATCAGAACATTGTAGTTACCTCAACTATCTTGTCCATAACAGAGAAAGAGGTGTTATCAAAAAAGATACTCATGGGCAAGAAATTCTTTTTAGAAAACATTTTCCTGGTTTTCTCTTCCTATGCTATACATTACACTTTCCTGAGTCCTTTAAAAAAAAAAAAAAAAAAAAAAAAAAAAAAAGTAAAATTCTCAGACTATTTTATTTATAAGCTTTTTTTTCTGAAATATGAAAATAACATATGACATAGTAGATATGAAAAGAACAAAGCTCTAATATGCTTCATCAGAATATTGGCCACCTGACAGACAGGGTGTTCTGTCTCCTGAGTAGCCTAATAAGTGTTTTTTCAGAACAAAACATAATACTTTTAGGAATGTGCTGTGATGCCATATAAACATATAGATTTTTTTTCCTGCCAGCAGACTGAATGTTGAAAATACAAAATAGTAACTTCCCCAGCAACATGAAAAGAATTGCCAACCTGTAAAATTAGTTTGTTTCTGGATGTCTCAGTATGTTCATATGTATGTGTGTGGTTTTCTCTCTCTTCTCCTGAAAATACCATAATGAGAGGAAGTGGGGTATGAAATTAGACTACAGAACATTTGTTTCTAGCTAATACAAATTAGTAATATTTTTCATTGGTCAGAGGGCTTGGAATTGTCACATTTGGACAAAATTGAAAGGAAGAAAAGCAGGTAAAAATGCAAAAATATTTTAGGGAACACTGCGCCTCACTTTAATGAGCTGTAGACATGATGGAAACAAATTAAAAAATCAGACATTATGATGTAAAAAAAAAATCAGCATTTTGAATTTTAAGCTGGCAGTGTTTTCAGTTAAAAATGACTCATTTCTGTTTAACAATATCAGTCACTAATTTTCCCTTTGTTGACTTACTATGAAAGTGCAAGTTTGTGAGCTGAGGTCTTCAGTAATGTGGTGGACAACTTGTTCAGAAAACTGTAGTAAATAGCTGTAGATAGTTGTGTTGCACAGTAGAGATTTTTGCGCCTAACATCTGTCTGTGCAAAAATCCTATTGCCTTCCCTGTAGCTAATTGCATCTACCCCTATTAGAAGAACAGTCTGATATGCTTCTTGTTTTCGGACTACCTCAGCATGAGATCCATAGACAGATATTAGGAAGAAATTCTTTACTGTGAGGGTGGTGAGACACAGGAGCAGGTTGCCCAGCAACGTTGTGGATGCCCCCTTCCTGGAGGCATTCAAGGCCTGACTGTATAGGGCTTTGAGCAACCTCATCTAGTTGGGGGGATGTCCCTGCCTATAGCAGGGGGGTTGGAACAAGATGGTCTTAGAGGTCCCTTCCAACCCAAATCCTTCTATGATACTATGATTGCAGGGCTGGCTAATGTGTTTCTTTCCTTCTCTGTGTCTTTAAAGGGGAGATGGAGGAGCTGGAAGCACTGTGGCTCACTGGCATTTGTCACAATGAGAAGAATGAGGTTATGAGCAGCCAGCTGGATATAGATAACATGGCAGGTGTCTTCTACATGCTGGGAGCAGCTATGGCCCTCAGTCTCATCACCTTCATCTGTGAACATCTCTTCTACTGGCAGTTCCGCCACTGCTTCATGGGTGTCTGCTCTGGCAAGCCTGGCGTGGTCTTCTCCATCAGTAGGGTAAGTACTGTTAGCTAGTGGAGAGAAAAAAGGTCAATCAGGATTTATTCAGGTGGTTGTAGGTACTGTCGATGGGGAAATCCACCCAGACTGTCAAACACACAGGTATTACAGAGAGATGATCTGCAGTGTGAAGCCTGCTGTCTTTCCTGCGTTAATGTAGGAAGAGCATTTACTGTTCTTCTGTCATCTCTGGTCTCTGCCTCATTATGGTCATGGAAATGGAAATTTCATATGGAACTGAAAACGCAGTGTGAAAAGAAGTGATCTGTAATAGTCTCCTCCTTATCATTGAGTTGTAAGCAGGCCGGATCTGGGGACAGTAAATCAAGTAATGTTGTTTAACACAGCTAGAAATTCAGGAGTTTCTCATTGTCTTCTGTGTTACATCTGTTCAGATGAACTTGTGTTTACTGGAATTGTTCTATCATGGACATTCAGAAGTCCCTAACCTCAAGCCCTGCACTAAGCCATGCAGAAATCCTTCTAGAGAGGATGACCACATGAACTTAGCATTTTCTCTATGCAAATCTGCCTTAGGGGGTAGTATTTACATTTAAAATAGATTCTTGTAATTTCTGAGTCATCTTCCTGCTATTATTGTAGATAGCAGTGTCCCATTTGGAGCTTCTCTTTCTTCTTTCTGTCACTGGTCTGATCTCTTGATCTCTTATGAAGTGAGGTCAAATCTCAACATTTTTGACCTCAGTATCTCTTGTAACAGAGTTAACTTTGATTGTACAAGGACTATATAATTGCAGTATAACATACTTTTGAGAAAAAATGACAAAGCCTTTGAGTGTTGGGACACAATCTCTCTTCTTTGTCGTTAGTTTTTAACCTGCTTTAATCTAGAGATGAAGTAGGGGACTGTATTTGGTGATCATTAACTGAACACAGATCTTTTCAGTCTGGAGTTATCTGTTAGACCTGGCCCATGTTGATGGAAAGTCTGAAAAAAGTAAATCAACTGCTGGTTGCTGAAAAACCCTGGTAACATGATGTGGTGGTGTCCATTTCACTATTGACATCAATCAGCATGCTCCATTTGGTAGGCTGAGGAATAAATGAGCCCCTTTCCTTCTGCTCCTTGGGGTAGCTTTTGCAAACAGACTTACCATGGATGAAATGAGCTAGTGGAGAATGTGGAGGAATCAGGCACTTCTGCTGTCTGATTTGAGGTTGAATAGAGGACTTCCACTTTCAGGGATGTCAATTTGGAGCCTGTTATCACTGCTAAATTCAATAGGATGCAATTAAAAATTCTATTGTACCATACTCAACCAGATGCAAAAGAACTAAATACCTGTTTAGCAGTCCTGCGCTCTCTGTTTCCTTTCTAATCTGTACTGGTGATTAATGTAGCTAAGTTTATGACAAATGAAGCTGTTCTCTTTTTACGATAATTCCTGTCATGTTGATTCACTGATGTCCAGATGAATTTCAAGGGGCAAAACAGACCTTCCTCTCATCCATGCAGAATCCTTTGTTTTGATGTTTTCATTTCCAAGGATATTATTTTCCCCATTTGCAATTCTATGTTATACCTAGAAAATTTGAGTAACCTTATGGATGCTAGCAGTTATTTCTGCATTCCTCAGATATGGTATGAGAAAAAAGAGGATAAATAGAGGGGAAAGAAAAAATGTGAGGGGTAAGAAAGAGTGGCAGGGTTGGTGGGACGGGTCTGGCTTCATCTCATTTGCTTGTGTATCACAGTGGAAGTCTGACAGTCTTTTCTGCCTTATAGGAATGTGCTATTGCTGCATAAGGCGCTTTCCAGCCTACATTTCCTTTTGCGTATTCTTTGCAGGACCACTCAACTTCATGCTTTCTCTTATTTCAGGGTATCTACAGCTGCATTCATGGTGTGGCCATTGAGGAACGCCAGTCAGCAATGAACTCCCCCACAGCGACTATGAACAACACCCATTCCAACATCCTCCGCCTGCTTCGGACAGCCAAGAACATGGCCAACCTGTCAGGGGTCAATGGCTCACCACAGAGTGCCCTGGACTTCATCCGCCGCGAATCATCAGTTTATGATATTTCTGAACACCGCCGCAGCTTCACCCACTCAGACTGCAAGTCCTACAACAACCCCCCATGTGAGGAGAATCTATTTAGTGACTATATTAGTGAGGTGGAGAGGACCTTTGGCAACCTCCAATTGAAGGACAGCAATGTATATCAGGACCACTACCACCACCACCACCGTCCCCACAGCATTGGAAGCACCAGCTCCATCGATGGGCTCTATGACTGTGACAACCCACCTTTCAACGCCCAGTCGCGGTCCATCGGGAAGAAGCCCTTGGATCTGGGGTTGCCCCCTGCCAAGCACAGCCAGCTGGGTGACCTCTATGGCAAGTTCTCCTTCAAGAGCGACCGCTATGGGGGCAGTGGGGCCCACGATGACCTGATCCGCTCAGACGTCTCTGACATTTCCACTCACACAGTCACCTATGGCAACATTGAAGGCAATGCAGCTAAGCGGCGGAAGCAACAGTACAAGGACAGCCTGAAGAAGCGTCCAGCCTCTGCCAAGTCCCGGCGGGAGTTCGATGAGATAGAGTTGGCCTACCGCCGGCGCCCACCCCGCTCGCCTGACCACAAACGCTACTTCAGGGACAAGGAAGGGCTACGGGACTTCTACCTGGACCAGTTTCGGGCCAAGGAAAACTCACCACACTGGGAACATGTGGACCTGACGGATATCTACAAAGAGCGTGGAGATGAGTTTAAGCGGGACACGGGAGGAGGAGGAAGTGGATCCTGCACGAACAGAGCCCACCATAAGCACGGTTCGGGTGAGTTTGGCGGAAGCAATGAGCACAAACATGGTGTTGTGAGCGGGGTCCCGGCGCCCTGGGAGAAGAATCTGACCAACCTAGACTGGGAGGACCGGTCTGGGGCTAATTTCTGCCGCAGCTGCCCTTCTAAGGTGCACAACTACACTCCATCAGTGGTGGGGCAGAATTCCACTCGCCAGGCCTGCATCCGGTGTGAGGCCTGCAAGAAAGCAGGCAACCTGTATGACATCAGTGAGGACAACTCTCTCCAAGAGCTGGACCAGCCACCTGCCCCTGTGCCCGTGGCCACCAGTGCCACCTCCTCCTCCAAATATCCTCAGAGCCCTTCCAATTCTGCCTCCAAGGTGCAGAAGAAGAACCGCAACAAGCTCCGCCGGCAGCACTCCTATGACACCTTTGTGGACCTGCAGAAGGATGACTCGGCCCTGGCCCCTCGCAGCGTCAGCCTCAAGGACAAGGGTCGCTTTTTGGAAGGGAGCCCCTACGCCCACATGTTTGAGATGCCAGCCAGTGAGACCACCTTTGCCAACAACAAGTCCTCAGTGCCCGCCACCAGCTACCACCACCACAACAACCCTGGCAGCAGCGGGGGATACATGCTCAGCAAGTCGCTCTACCCTGACAGGGTCACCCAAAACCCTTTCATCCCCACTTTTGGGGATGACCAATGCTTGCTCCACGGCAGCAAATCTTATTTCTTCAGGCAGCCTGTGGTGGCAGGAGGGCCCAAAGCCAGGCCAGACTTCCGAGCCATCGTCACCACCAACAAGCCGGTGGTCTCAGCCCTTCATGGGGCTGTGCCAGCCCGTTTCCAGAAGGACATCTGTATAGGGAACCAGTCCAACCCCTGTGTGCCTAACAACAAAAACCCCAGGGCTTTCAATGGCTCCAGCAACGGGCATGTTTATGAGAAACTCTCCAGTATTGAGTCTGACGTTTGAGTGAGAGGGAAGGAGCATGGGGAGGGACTGGGGGTGGATGTGGAGCATGGGAGGGTGGGGTGGGATCAATCCCATCGGCTACTCTCCCTGGTCATCCTTAGTTTGTGGGATACTGGAGTTCTGAGTAGTACAGCATTGGTGACAAGTGCCACCTCTTTGGTTTCCCCTCTTCCTCCTCCTCTTTCCCACCCCTCCCCTTTTATCTCTTTTTCCATGTTCTCTCTCCTCCCATTCTCCTCCATTCCTAGCCATTGCACTTTACAGTGACGTTGGAGTTGGATATCCTCATTCGTGATTTCACGAGGGGGAGAAGAAGGCAGGGAAGGGGTGGGTTGAGGGGGAGCAATAGTGATTCTAGCATTTCACTCTTGCTGACTCCCAGCAGAGAAAGGCATGTGCATGCACACATGTGGCAGGAGGAGACAGCAGAAGAAGTGTAATGGACATGCAGGAAAATACGCTTGTTCAGGCAACTCTTCCTAAAACTGCCTAGAAAAGAGTGATGTTTGAAGACGTGGAGAAAGTGAAGGAGGAATAACATGACTAACTTGATGATGCACTTATATGTTAGGTATACTGAGGTTCTTGTTACATTATTTTGTGAAGATTATGGGGGTTTAGGGCTGAAATATATATATATATATATTTGCGTATACGCTGAGAATTTTACGCTGACGTTTTGAATCGTTTGCTGGGAGATGTGGGGGGAGGGAGAGAAGGCTTGTTTGCAGGTCTGGTGAGTGGTTTCACTGTGGCTATTACAGCCATTGAATCTGTGACAGATCAGTGGGAGAGTTGGAAAGGAAATGGGTTTCGAGTCTGGGAGAGCAACCCTTAAATCAGGGGGGCTTCTGGGAGCTCTGACAGGATGCTGTTTTGCACTGAAATGAAAGGAATTTTGAAAAAGGGAAGCAGAGTTGGTTTTTTAGCTATGAATTGCTCACTAATTGTGGTTTACTTTAAGGGTGGGAGCAGTATTTAGTATGGGTTAGCCTATACGCGAGTATATACAATGAATTTATACTTGAAATGTCTGTGGAGAAAGCAAAATAAACTCACAATCCTATAAGGTGTCTGGATAACACAGAGTGGAAAAGAGCTAAGGAGTAGGGAAAGGTGGGGAGTTTTGTCACTGTCTCTTCAGAGGACACCAAGCCTCTTTTGGCATGTTCTTTAGCAAGGAGAGCAGGACAAGAAACATTTTCATCCTTCTGCCCTCCCCACCCTTGGCCAGCAGGATGGAAGAAAAGGAATGCGGTGTCCTGGTGTCCTCTGCCAATGGTGGCATGGTGGTGGAGAGGAAAAAAAAAAAAAAAAAAAAAAACAACCATGAAAAGGTGCATGTGGTGGCAGTGATATTGGTGGATTGTCTTGATGCCTCCTTGGACATGTGGAAATGGAAAGAGGGTGTTTGCACCCATGGGAAATACATATGTATATTTATTATTGAATGTACAAGGGAAGTACATAGCTTGTCTTCCTGGCAATGGGTGTGCTTGAATAAATGCCAGAGAGCACAGGAACGTGTGCTGAGGGCTGAAGACAAGACGTGCAAGGCTGAGATGTGTGTGTACGTGTACGTGTGCCTCAGCGTGTGACAGAGATACTAGCACAAGTGCAAAGCTGGAATAGCCTAGGGTTTCCCATCCCTGCAGTTGTAGTGACAGCTTTCCTGGTGCACATAGTATCGATAGGAGTGTTTTTTCTTTCCACTGTATCATTTTAGATGCAAGTTAAACTTAATGGAAAGGGAGCAATGGTAGGAGTGAGAAGTTGAACTCCCTCTTCATATGTCTTCTTTTTCCTGAGGTAGGGCATGGGCCAGCCTCTCTCACCCCGAGAGATGTGGCAGAGTCCCTTCTGTTTCTCCTGAGTCTGTCCCAGTGTCACAATTACCATGGCTCGCCAAGGAGAGGGTTGAAAGAACCCTGTGCTGAGGGCATGGGGACACTCCTGGAGACTGACTGAATGGAGATGGCAGTCCCTTTATGAGCCTCTTGGAGCTGAAAGCCACCTCGCTCGCATTCCTCACCGCACCCTGGTTGATTTTATCTTATCTTTCTCTTTTTAAGCCAACAGAAGGCCTTTTATTTATTTACCTATTTATTTTATTTCTTTTTTAGAGCTGGGGTGAGGGGAGGGTGGGATTTGCCTGTAAAGTCAAAGAGTGTGAAGAGAGGGTGGGCAAGGTCTGTGAAGGGAACATTTTCTTAGATTTCACTGAGGAAATTGAGGAGGGAAGAGGGGGAGAGTCTTTGTAATGCCACCCCTTCGTCTTTGGGGTAAGGGAACTTCTTATTCTTTCCCTCTTCTCTCATTACAAGGACAAAAAGGAAAAAAAAAAAAAAAGAAAAAAAAAGAAAGAAACCAAACAAATTAACAGAGCGATCTGCAATCCAGAATACATGGCAGCTTGTCAGATGCCTCTGACAGCAGCCACCGAGAAGGCGTTCCTTTCATTTGTAAATATTTCTTTTTTATTGCGTTTTTGTATAAATTGGTGTTTCTCTTCTCGTGAATATTCAGGTCGTGGGGTGGGAGGGAGGGGAGTTTGTTTCTGTTCTGTTTGTTTTTTACGACTTTTCAGGCTGCGTTTTTGGAAGCGGTTTACGCGGGTCGAGGCCGTATGAATGAGGAAGAGAGAGAGAGCGAGAGAGAGAGAGAGGAAAAAAACCACGTGTGTTGTGTACCCCTAGGCCCCCCGTATCGCCCTGTCACCTTATCTTCATGAATGGAAGACGCCGGAACGTCACTTCAAGCCTTGCCAGCAGGGTTTCATGTTTTGATGGGAACACCCCCAATTCCTTTTTGCATATAAACTCTCTGTACCAGCATCTCTCTGTGGAGTTTGAGCCTCAAGGCACTACGCTGTCTTGGTAGTGGTGGGGTGAACCATCAAGTTGGCCGCTCAGGTTGGACCATCACTTGACATTAAGAGACTTCTCCAATGCTACGTTGGTTTAGAAATCTTGGACCTGGGAAAGCTCGTGAGAATTTCTGGTTATTTCCTAAGGGCTTGGGGGGGAGCTTGACAGCTGGCAAGGGCAGCTAATCTCACTGGTGGTTATTTCAGTACTTTACGTCCCTCCCCACCTGGAACAAGGAAACCTGGAGGGTGGCTCTGCAGGGAAATTAAGCCGAAAACAAACCAAAAAGAAGTTAATGGAACTTTTTTCAAATCTCTTCTTAAAGGTTCTGATTTTTGTGTTCCAGGGTGAAAGTTGGTTCGTATTTTCTCCAAACTGGTCTGTCCCTTGTTCCACTGATTGGCAAATGATAGTTTGCCAAAATCATTATCTAGTGTTGATACTGTGTAGCACTGTTAACACTGGGAGTGCTCTGCAAATACTAACTGTGCCACAAACCACTCAAATGAATGCTCTAGGGCAACCAGAAAAGAAGAACTGGAAATTCTGGACTGAACCACTGGTCTAACTACAGGAGTCTGGTGTTTTGCCTTCTCCCACAATAAATTAGGCCACGTGTCCATCAGGTTATTCCTTTCTCTATAAGTGATCTTTTCTGGTTGCTTTGTTTATTTTAGTTCTGACAGGTCAACAAATTTTGGAACAGAGGTGAAGGGGAGGGGCTGGGAGGGGGGAGGGTGTAATTCATAATCCAGAAAATAAACCAATGATGTTATTAAACTCTGATTATATATTTAGAATTTTAGATTTGGTGTATTTTCATTCTAAGTATTCAAGTGAATCAATCAGGTAATATTAGCAGCAGGTGTTGTCTATACTAGAATACCACCCATGTGCTGTTTATTACCTGTCTTGAAAAGAACGGGATTTCATACCAGAGCCTGACAAAATTCCACATCTCCTCCCTTGCCATTTCCCTCTCTCTCCTGTAGAAAGAAACACCGGAATTTTCTGGGGGTAGTGGCTGGGATCATTTCCCCTTCTGAACGTTTCTGCACACATGAGTAATGATCAGAAATCACTGCGTGCTCTACAGGTGTGTGACCTCTACTGTATATTTGCAGCCAGCCTCCTGGGAAAGATTAGGCGCTTTTGGCAATGTTTCTGACATTTGCCTCCTCAGTCTAGTTCCAGGCATGGCTCTTTAAGAGGTATTTCATGAACCGTGTTCTTCTGAAGTGGTACCGGAATGTAGGTACTCAGCTGAAGGAGGATGTGTATGAAGGAGATGGAGGAAATATTCAAAGAAAATATCAAGAATGTGGAGTGCATCTGACAGGTAGAACTTGCAGCCGTGGATCTCCTCATAATCATAAACCTTCTTGGAGAACTCACACCAGCTTTTTACTGTAGCGCAACAAAACTCATGCTGGTGTAGCAGTCCTATCTCCCATCATGCTTCCAGGGAGGGCACAATCAGAACTCACCTTGTCACCTCATAAATAGGAAAGAAGAGCTGCAGTCAGGACTTGTTATCAGTGGGGGTAATGAAGCACACCGGCCCCAACTCCCCGGTAAAAAAACATCCTGTTCTCTCTGATATCCAGCATACGTCATCAGAACTCTCCAGGTGAGATCCCCAGTATGTTCAAAATGCTCAGCAATAGGCAAGGATGAACTTTGCCCATAGGGAATTGCTATTTCAATTTCCAGCGCATGGGGGAGGAACGTTCCTTTGTGTGGTCCTGAAAGATTTGGTGGAGGAGTTAAGAAATGCCAAGATGGCCCTCTTTGCTTCTGACTTCTTCAGTAATGTGTACTGATGCTGAGCTGCTCACTCCAAGAAGACGCTAGCATCCATCTTGAGTAAAACCCCTTAGTACCTTCAAATCAGAGTTGTTTCTCACAGCAACATTGTCAGCAAAAGAGAGAGGGGGAGACGTAGACTACAGATGATGATGGTGAAAGGTTAGAGTGATCAGAGATACCTCAGGGATCTTTATAGGCAAGCCTTTGCTTTAGAGCTTTCTATCAAATGTGGCATATCCTCCCACCTCCATTGCTTATCAACAGATGGAAGCAAACCTGGGAACACAGCCAATGATCAGACTTAGGCCTTTCACACATCCTCCACTCCAGTCAAGCAACCTCTGATGAGCTCTTCCTGTGGAGAAGGGTGGGAGGTTGCACTTCCCCACATATTTTTGGTTGCCAAAACGAAAAGAAAAAGGGGAGGAGATAAAGACGAGTGTTGATGAAGGGACTTTGCGCTGACTCTTTGTGCTGCTTTTCTAAGGATTTTCACTTCACCCTTTCTGCTCAATTCAAGCTGGCAGAGGGTAGGGTCCAGTTCTGCTGCCTCTCTGTGGCAAATGCCTGGCAGAAGCCTCTGGGAGCCGTGTGCTAGAAAGGAGTTGGATTGCTGGCAACGTATGGGGACAGACTCCAAGCCACAATCCCCGTCTGCACCCACTCTTTCCCATAAGTGCTTCCCTGCTGCTGAACACACCTGGCGTGTCCACCTGGAACACACCTACCATGCTGCTGGATGCTGCAGGGCACATTGAGATAGTAACTAGTGGGACTTGATTGTTGTCCCCACAAGGGCTTATTTTCAATTTGCAGCCAAATAGATTTCCAAGCCATAGACCCTCGCTGCATTCACCCACCTATATACCTGTATCTCCCTCCCTCCTCCCCCTTCAAAGGCAAACTGGGGCGCTGACTGTCTCACTGGCAATATGAATGCTATTGTTTCATCCTCATCTGGATGAAGAGCTCTCTGGACCTCCCTGGTGCTGACTGCAGACAGACCTGGGTGTCTGCCATTAGAATGGTAACAACTACAACAACAAAAAACACTTTGTGATTGGCTTTGAGTTCTTTCTTCATCTCTTCTGCATTCTTAAATTCCTCTCCTAGCCATACCATTTGAGTGAATTCTGGCACCCTTCTGTCACTGCTGACAACAAAAAGGACACAGCGTGAATCTGCCTGTATACGGAAAAGGCAGTAAAACTGTGTATCAGAGAGCAGGACTCAGGTCTGCTGATGCCAAGGGTATAGTTTCCTGGTGCTGAGGTAAAGGAAGGCCTCTGCAATGTGTTAGTAGCTACATATCTTTTACTCTGCTGGCCTCCTGCCATTCAAGGCTAACAGCAAGCACTCCAACGGGTCAGACAAATTCTATACTGTGGGGCAGGGGTTCGTCTGGGCGTGTGCACACATATGAAATGTATTGGGGAAGTGAAACACATGTGAACAAGCCTGGCACAGCAGGAAGCTGTGAGGCTTGTGCGCTTGTACGCACACACACACACACACACACACACGGTACATTGCAGTACGCTTAATTACTCTGTCCCACAGTGCATTTTTGCCAAGTAGAAACAACGCGATCTTTCCTAAGGTTCTGCTGGTAGTTATTTAATTTATGTATTCACTTTGTGACTTTTACATC